CCATTTTGGGTTTATCAAATTCAACCAATATCAGACAATTTTTCTTCAAATTGATTAACGATTGATGGGTCATCAGATTCAGTTCCATATACATTGCATCATATTATGTATATAAATGGCATGAATGGACTATCTCCATTACAGTAGAAGAAAGAATACGTAAAATCAAATCCATAGGGTAATAACTTTGACAGATGAAGCACCAGTTTACAATATATAAGCTAAAAATCCTAAAGTTTAGAAAAAACTTGAAAAGAACACCAAGTGCACACCAGTTTCAAACTAACGACTCCCTTTAATCATATGCACATAAACCAAAGAAAAATTGGCTTAGTCAAGATTAACAAACCGTGGATATTGATCGTCGTATTTGGAGAGAACTTTATGGCAAAGCAGATCTGAATATCTGATTTAAATCACGAGAAATAAATCACAGATTAAGAAACCCTATCTTACTTAGAGAGGGAGGTTTCCATCGTAGAATTGGAGTCGGAATTTCAGATTGTAGACGAGATCAAGGAGTTGTGATGATTAATTATAGGGCATCACTGATCGTTGAGGTGTTTGTTTACATATAGATTTGAAACTCATATTATAGAAACGTTGTGATGATCGATTTACAAGCCTTCAGATCTGGAGAAACTATCGTTATCGATAAAGGGAAAGGAGTAGATTTTGTAGTTGGAGAGACGAAGTGATAAGGTCGGCGATGAATTGTAGGTTTCTAAAAAATTAATTAAGCTAATTAGTAATTATTAGGAAATGTCAAACTTTGGTCCTCACATTTTCAGAAATTTGACAATTTTAGTCGTGTAATTTAAACCATAACTGGTAAGGGACCAACTAAAAAAGAAATTTAAACCATAAGGGCTATTTGTGTAATTTAGAATAACATGTTAACGGATGAATGGTTAAAAACTAACAATAATTATTTAATTGACATATAAAGTAAAAGTTAAGTGATCTATTGCGCAAAAACCAAAAACCAAAAACCAAAATAAATAAATAAATAAAAATAATTTTTCAAATCGAAACATGCTTCAGTGACATTATCCTATTTTAGTTAGGATTTTCAGATCTGATGGTCTTCTTAAACACCCCTAATCGATAAAATTTGTGTACTTACAGTCTTACAGGGCGCATTAATGAAATTTTTAAGTATTCCTAATATGATTGCCTTATTAGAAAAATAAAACAAAGGTTTTATCGGGGTAATGTTCAAGTACTTTGGTGGATTATGGGTAATGTTCAAGTACTTTGGTGGATTATGGGTAGAGTTTGTGATAAGTTTCAAGGAACTACATTTTTAAAGAAGTAATTCCACATACATGAGATTTTGTAGCTATGGAGTGGCTTATATGGATTGACTTATAAGGCCTTCCTTTAAAGGAATAGAGTCAAAGTTCTACCAATAAAATTGCTAATAAATTAGGAGGAAGTTATGCATATGGATAAATTCTTGATGAGAATTTATATAGCATTTGGATTTTTATTAAGGTCCCATTTGATAGATATTTTTTTCGGTCCAAATAGGACTTTCTGCTGAATGGGTCGGAAAAACTATTTCATTTCACAAAAAATGATCGTTTTTGGTAAGATATGTCTTTCACAGAAAGCCCAAAAACAATATCTTTCTGGCTGAATGATCATTTTTCATTATTCAACACAATCGGTCAGATGTATAATAAAACATTATGGTTTCTTTCTCGGTCAGCAAACTTTTCCAGACAACAACTATCAAACGGACCCTACGTCATCTTGCATGTATTTAATATTTTGCTTTGTTTGTAGCCTCCTGTTTTATGGGCTAATTAAAAATTTAGATATATATACTGTAACGACCCAATTTTCACGTCCAAAAATTTCATTTTTGATTAAGTGATTTACAAACCATTTGTAACAAAATATCATCCGATCATATCATTTAATTAAATATGTCTCGTATCTGAAAACCAAATCGTAAAACATAATAAGGTCAGAGTATAAATCCCAGAATAACTCATAGTGCGGAAAACAAAGAGTGTGTGTATGATGTGCCGCTACTGCGCCAGTTCTTTCCCTTCGCTGAAGTGGTACCTGAAACCAAAACTGTAAACTGTAAGCACAAAGCTTAGTGAGTTCCCCCATCGTACCACATAACATGCAAACACATAGCATACATACTGTTGGGCAATTCTGGGGTGCCCGACCTACCCGGTACAGCTATTTTGGGGTGCCGACCTACCCATGCGGCCATTCTGGGGTGCCGACCTACCCATATCAAGCTATTATGGGGTGCTGACCTACCCGCCGGTCCTAACAACCGACCCTCGAAGACTATTTCACCCCTTACTGCTACTATCACATATATCATAACATAAGCATACTATCAGACATATCTAGGGTGTCTGACCTACCCTTCGGTCCTAACAACCAAACTCTACTACTATCACATATAACATATCATGCCAGCATATAACATATCAACACATATTATCAGACGTATCTGGGGTGTCTGACCTACCCTTCGGTCCTAACAACCGAACTCTACTACTATCACATATAACATATCATGCCAGCATATAACATATCATGTAGTAGCAAACCTAGATGTTATCACAAAGACAATCATCTAATCATACAACTCTTACTAGTGGGTCGGCATTGTGGCCATATACCCACCGCTACTGGAAGGTAACTCACCTCGTAGTAACTGCTGATCTGTGCGGGAATCCTCTAACTGCTGCCGCTGCTGCTCTGGGAATCCTCCGGCTATAATTCCCACAAAACACTTAGTCATACACTGCTAACTTGTTCTTAGGGTAAAATGACCATTTATCCCTGACCAAAACAAAGTCAAAGTCAACTTCTAGTGACCTGACTAGCCAAGTTAGCTCGCCAACTCGCCGAGTCCCTATCCTCCCATCTGTCCTTATACTCGTCTCTACTCGTCGAGTTAGGCGATGACTCGACGAGTTTTCCTTCTAAATGAACATCGACTGAATCCTCATCCGGCTCGCCGAGTTGTATGAACAACTCGTCGATTTCATCTCAACTGATATACAGGTCATGTCCTTGACTTGCCGAGTTGTATGAACAACTCGTCGAGTTCATCTTCATCCTTAAGACGTTTGCCTTGGACTCGCCGAGTCTGCTCATGCACTCGCCGAGTCCCATGAACTTCCAGAACAATGGCTTAGTCCAGAACGTTGGGTCACTCCCCGGGACCCCCCTTAAAACCTTTCCATACTCAACTGGGTCCTTATGACCCTCAACTGATATGGGACAAAACCTTGGACTCGCCGAGTCCAAGAATGCACTTGTCGAGTTGGTCACATCCACTCACTAAATCTTCTATTTCTAATGTATAACCCTTGATCAAAAGATAGATCTATGCTTCTACAATCGATCTAGCACATAAAGTTACAACCTTTACGTGCTTGCTTGGGACTTTGAGCTCAAAAGGTCCTAAAACAATCTCTTACAATGCATGGGGCCTTCTTTGAGTGCAAGAGCCACTCCTTTCTACCTTGTAACCCCTCTAAGGGCCTAGATCTGAAACATCAACCCCTAACCATGCTTACAATCATGGTTGGTGACCAAAATGGCTTAGAAAAGCCCTAAAACTCCACAAAATGGGATCTATCAAAAGAATAAACAAGGTATAGACTTTATACCTTCTGAAGATTGCAAATGATGCTCAAAATCGAATCCTTCTAGCCTCCTCTTGATCCTTCAAGCTTTTCCTTCCTTCCTTGGGTCACAAAAGCACCAAAATCACTCCAAATGCCTTAGATTGCTTCAATAACGGCTAGGGTTTGCTATGGGGGTCTTCTGGGAGCAAATGGGACGAAGGAGGCCGAGTTAAGGTGTTTAAATAGGGTGCAAACCCTTGGGTTAGGGTTTTTGTCCAGACAGGACCTACTCGCCAAGTCCGGGACCCGACTCGTCAAGTCCACAACTTAAACCCCGCACCTCATCACGCTTCTACTTGGCGAGTTGGTCCCTTAACTCGCCAAGTCCAAGGTCAAAATGCAAAAATATAAATAAGAGAATACGTACCAAGAACCAGGTGCCACAAATCTCCCTCACTTATTTTAGACTTCGTTCTCGAAGTCTGCTACTCGATCCTGAAACAGCTCGGGCTAATGCTCCATCATCTCGTCGGCCGGCTCCCACGTCCACTCCGACCCGTTCCAGTGCTGCCATTGCACCTTCACAAGTTCCACTCTTTTATTCCTCAAATCCTTCGACTTCCGGTCACAGATTGCCACCGGTCGTTCAATGTAGTTTAGACTGTCATCAACCTGAATGTCCTCCAAGGGGATCACTGCTGAGGCATCCACCAGGCACTTTCGCAACTGAGAAACATGGAAAGTGTTGGCCCTGATACCAAATCAAACTTGGTAATTGTAAATCATTCATAATGAGTCACGATTACCGAATATATACTAAAACATAATTACACTTTACACCCTCTATATTACAAACGCCTAATAGTTCCAAATTTGAAATTAGACTTTAGTTGAATTTAGTGATGTTTCTATCATCCAAACTCCTAAACTTCATGGAATCTAACCCTAATTGATGTAGTGGAGTTTGGTGAGGATTTAAGATTTAAAAGCACGATTTTGAGATAGATATATGCAGATTTGAGGAAGAAGACATGACGATAATGTAGAATTTTTTGCTCTGCTTCTATCCAAAGTGATGAGGTTATTGCCTTAATGGTGTATAACAACACATGGGTTGATGCGATGCCCAATTCTAAGAAAAATATCAAATCAACATCAAACATGTTACTATCTCTCTAAATGTTTTTTTTTAAATTATTGTTTACTGGTAATATATCAAAAAATTCAGCCAAATGTTATTTTGTTTACATAGACCAAAGTTTATTAGTTTCATGATTCATTTTCCCTAAAATATTCTTTTAGCAATGTCGAAACAAGGAAAGATTTGTACGGGACAAATCACAAATCAAAAGCATTAATAACTTAGGTATTAATTACAAGATCATGGGTGCAACTAGCAAGATCGTTTTTTAGGTTTGTTTTTCCTCGATAATAAACTATACTTATTAATAAGTTTTATTAAAAAGATTAAAAAATAAGTTATAAAATCCCCAACCCTATTAACAGATTACAAAGACCCCGTTACACCAGTTATCAATTTTTTTCTTCACCACAACCGGTTAAAGCCTGGAATTCATACTCTATAGAAGTTTGTAAATCATGTAAAAAAAACTAATATTGCACACACATATATAATATATCATACAAAATGACAATGTTGCCCTTTATGGAGAGGATTATGACGTTGGGTCCTTCCCAAATTTCATCATAGCATGAGTTGCCAGCATGGAACCCCTTCGAGCCATCTCTATAATTCGTCCAACCAGTGGCACATTAGAAGTATCTCTATTCCATAGGGGCTTCTTGTTCCACCTGTAAACAAATTTTTTTTATAAAAAATACAACTACTAAAGAAAATGTTATTTAATAGAAATAATATATACCAATCTTCATGGCGAATGACCTTCCCATCCTCTACATAAAGCTTAATGAGTGATATCATATCAATATCTTTTCCCATGAACTTGTAGTATTGCTTGTTGTCAATGACTATCTATTTTATGTCACAATTTATAAAAAAATATATATCAAAAGAAAAGAAAACATAAAGATAAATGTAAAAGGTATTAATATTATTAACCTCTCTTCTTCCATGAGGAAGTATATTTTCTTTGATGTTGTACTCTACAATTCTTGACTCACTAAACACCTTTGAAAGAGAATAAAAAGCTGACTTGATTTGCTTCACCCTGAAATCAGAAGTCATTAGAAATGAATTTTTTTATTTTTATAAAACCATTTTAAAAGAATAAAAGCTATCAAATTATACCCATGAGCACACATGAGTGGATCTTCAAATGAAGCATCAGGAGCATAGATTTCAAAATCTCGAGGTAAGGCACATGATCCATACCTTAAATAAGAAAAATTAATGAAATTACTTAATTAATAAACTGTTAATCTTGCAAATATATAGGATTCAAATAGCACAAACTCACAGGTTGAGGATATGAGGAAGTATATCATCAGACACCTTCTTCAATGGATCAATATCACGAGCTGTTTCCTTGTGTTGATCTTTTTTTGGTTCCTGTGAATCTTCACAAACACATTAAACACAAAACGATTAGAACCCTAAAATCGACTTACTCCCTGCAATTCGAACTTCATCACTGAAATTGAAGAGATGAAGAGATTTTCAGGAACTACAGTTCACCTTTAGAGTTTGTTTCCATGGAGGATTCCGGTAAGTTAAACGATGAGTAAGAAACTGTAAAGGGAGAAAGTGGATTCCGGTGATGAGAAAGTGGAGAAATTGAACGTACGAGAAGGAAATTGGAACGAATCATGAGAGGATTTGAAAGGCGCTACGTGGTTGCGCCATGGCCGATTGATTTACATACTGAGGGAGGGACACTCGCGCCTTTGACATCAGCTTCAACTTTGACCTGTTTGATTTCGGTTTCAAGTCACCAAGTTTTACATTTTCATTTATGTCCCTACACATGCTAAAAGTTGTCCATTTTAACAAAAGTTTAATGGTCTTACAAAAATTTTGATGTTTAATTAATATTTTAAACCTATTATGACATGTCAATCTGATGACATAGAAAAACTTGTCAAACACCAATTGGTCTCTTGCTCATATAGAAAAAACATTTATATATACTTTTCATTATAATTTTTTTAATGACTTATAGTGGTTAGAATTTAATATTACCAAGTTAGTAAAATTTGTCAACGTTCGGATTAGAATCTGGGATCTCCAATCTAAGAGGAAAAGTCTTTACCATGTGGTGACAGAGCATCGACAACCTAGGGGTTTAGGGCAGTGTCGCGTGGGGTTGATCGGGAAGAGGAGGTTGTTCAACGACATTTAAACAAGATGATGCTGTGTTTAGGTTTGTTGGTTTTAAAATCAAGTGGGTGACACTAGTCATGTAGGAGATAAGGATGGAATGAAGAGACATATTTGTGTAGTGAGAGGGAAGAAAGAAACGGTTGCCATGTTTTTTAATAATTTTTATTAAAAATATAAAAGAAATTAAAATGGTATAAAAGTCTTTTTACATGGAAAAGAAACCGAACACTATAAAAAAATTAAAATCGACCTTCCATGAAATCGAAAAACTTAATAGCTAAACATAATATTATGGAAAACCATAATCACCATTTATGCCTATTGAAATATATTGTTTTGAATTTTGATTTGACAATTAAAAAAAATTTAAAAAAATGAGTTATATCCGAACAACTAAGGCTGGAAGGAGTGGTGCTGCATTCCCTTATTTACCATTTATTTTTATTTTTTAAATAGTAATTTGTAAAAGTTGTTTTGGTTTTCGAGAATTCCGCATCAAAATAAATAATCTATGCAATTTTTTCAAAAAAAAATAAAAAAATAAAAATAAATAAATAAATAAACTTTAAAAACAAGCTTCCAGTGCAAAACGTTGATCAGTGATCACAAATTATAAATTGTGTTTTTTTTTTTTTTTTTTTAATATCCGAAGGGTTTGTCAAACATCGTTTTCTATAAACCTAAAAACAGAAAACCACCGCCACAAATTTAGAGAAGTTGTGGTAGCATTTTATAACAAAAATAAAACTCAAAATTAAAATGAAAGTTTATTTCTAATTTCTCTCATTTTAGGCAATTTGTTAAAAGTAGGTTGCATTTTCCGGTAAAATGAAAGAAATTCCAATTATGTTACACATAAAATTAGGTTACAATCAAAAGGGAACAAGAAACTCATCAAACTTCTTAAATCTATTCATAATCACAAAGCATCTCATACAACATCATCAACAATAACACTAATCAACAACATATGACCAAAACAAGCTTTAAAAGCAGTTTACATACAATATACACTCTCAAAACAAACGGAATATGCAAAAATTACATATTTATCCCCTTGTTATCGTGAGCTACTCTCTTTTTTTCAAGTCTTACCCTCAAAAAATTCGCCAAGCATTCGATCAAGATCCTCAGCTGTATACCTTATATACTTGTGAGGATTCTTCCCATTTTCAACAAGTGCCCTATAACCACAAAACAAAACAACATTAAAAAGAATTTATATGGTTTCAGATTTAGTATTTTTTGCTTTTTTAACTTAATACAGAAAGAATGACTTAATAGGAAAAGTCAAGAAAACAAGACTTTCCCATTAAGTTGTTAACTTTTTACAAATTTGATCTACTTAATTTTTCCTTTAAATATTTTTTAAACATCATTTAATGATTTATCCAGACAACACAGCTTACCCAAAACGCTTAATAAAGGATCTGTAAGCAGGCAGCAAGACTTCAGCAACCGCAAGTCTTAATGATTCCCTGAGCTCTGAATCAGGAACAGTCCACTGAGATTGTCTTTGATGAAGCTCCTCAAATTGAAGATTAAAAATCTTTAACCTAATAATTACCATAATATACCATTTTTCAATGTTTTTTCTTAAATAAAAAAGTTAGTGGTGAAAAGACGAACCTATCCTTTATAAGAGCTCGTGAGGCCCCACTACTGTTTCCTCCATCACCACCTCCTGATGAAGTTGACCCTTGAATCGACAGACACTGTAAGATCTAATAAACAAAAATATATATATATATATCCCAATTTATAAAATCGCAAATTTCAAAAAATATGGGACAAAAAGACGTAAATGCCCTTATACCTTTGCCCATGCGATTCTTTTATACTGATTAGCATGTTGTTGTACGATTCTTCTGTGTCGTTGTACCCAATCATCCCCTAACAAATCCTTTGCTTCGGATCTAATGGCAAAAAGAAATTTTCAGTGAAAAATCAAGCTTTGATGTTACCAAATTAACAAGTTAGGGTTTTGGATGATGAACCTGCGAACGGATCTGACCATATAATGAATGTTGTTCATAAGAAACAAGTTGGTCAACGCCGGATCTTTGTATTGCTTTGACTTTCCGTCCAAATTGGTTTGAAGAGCCTGCATGATTCGCATTGTTACAGATGCAAGTTGAGAGTTTGATTCGTCTCCCTTTTCAAACTCTTGGAAAAGTTGCTTCAGTGTTGATTGATAGCTGAAAACGTGAAATCGAGCTGTTATTTTGCATAAAATTTTGAAATTGGAGGGATAATTTTGCGAAAGAAGTTGAAATTGGAGCGTTTTTTGTTTTGTGTGTTTGAATTATAGCTTACTCGAATAAGAATTTGACGTAGTTGATGACGTAGCTTGTGAGAGGATGAACAGTTCCATCTGCAACAGCAGTTCTTGTTGCATCTTTTTCAACTGCTTCTTCAAAATCTCCAAATGTCTCTTTCGCTGTTTGTGCAAGTCGTTTCGTTAAACCAACTGCAGCTTCTCTGATTTCCTTGCAAGCTTTACCACTAAAAAGCAATTCAATCTGCAAACAATCATCCACTTATAACCATTAATTTCTTCATTAAGAAACCACATGAATGTTTGATCGAGAACATAAACATACCTCAGAGTGAAGCTCACGCATAATCTCATACATGTCCAAAAGCACAAACAACTTTTCTGGTGATCTTTTGCTTTTAGCAATTGCATCTCCAAAACTTAGTAACATCGCAACACTACCTTTTGTAACTTCAGCAAAACACTGATCTTTAAGGGACTCGATGCCTTCAAACATTTGGTCACAAACTTTTTTCTCTGCTGCAAACAATAATTTCACCTGTTTGACATGAATCATGATTTACAACTTCCTCAACATCATCACAAATAAAGGAGTCTATCAACATTCAACACTTCAACTTACTGCAATTCTCATAAAATGAATCCAAGTCCCGATTTTAAGCTCCAAGACCTCCCATTGTATCTTCTGAACATCATCTTTACTAAGCTTCTCCACCCCCAACTGATGAAGGCTTTCTTGAAGCACTTGAGAACGTGTATCCCCTAAAATTTTAAATTTCTATATAAAAACCACTAATCTTTTTAAAAAAATTACCAATTTCTTTACCTGTATATGATCATGCACTGCTGAGAATTACCAGCATTCACCATGTGTTGAGCTAGATCATGTAACAATGGCAACACACGAGGTGGAATGAGGACAGGAGGATTATAAACAGCATTTTCTGCAGTGATTCGATCATTATGGAAGATGGATTTTTGGCATTTGTTTCAGGTGATCCAGATGAGGGGCGTAGGGAATTAGGTAGGCATTCGTATAGACGATCAGGCTCCACAGGTTTACTGAAAGAGTTTATAATACAATAAGTATATAATTACTGATTACATTTGCAACATTCATTAATATATTAGAGGAGATGTAGAAGAAACCTGTATGATGATAAAAGTTGTTTAAATTCATGTTCGAGTTTGGAGATAGCTTTGGAAAGCAGATTATTTGCATGACTAAGCACCCCATCGCTACTCTTAAAGCTTTTATTGTTTGTAAAAAACCGAATATTGCTTCTTAGATTCTCAATAGCTTCAAGATAGCCTTCAAGATCCTCATGTGGACCTCTAATTATTTTAGACTCCGCCTACATATTGGAAAAGTAAATTATGATATTTTGATTTTGGGTCAGGAAGAAACTTATATTTTTCTGAAGGGTATTTTAGGGATTTGAGAAATATATAAACAATAGCGGCCTTCAAAGTTAACAAAAACTAACCTCGCGAGAAAGATCAAATCTGTTCAATATAACATTAGCAGCCTTCAAAGTCTTATCAATGTTCTCATGAGCTCTGCGTATTGCATGTGTTCTTATCTACAAGAAACAAAAATATTATAATAATAATAATTATGTTAACTATATTCTTGAAATCAAACCAAAACTATCATGGGCATTTCTGATTAACAACTTATTAGGAACCTAAATTCGATCACGACAGTATCTTTAGCACCGATTTGTTTATGTTATAAACCCTAAATTACAACATATATATCAAAATTATCTCACAAAGAGTCATTGAGTGATTTTCAAACGACAGTTTTTGGTTTTTCGGTTGCACATGAAGAATAGATCTGTGAAAATGCAAGAAAAACGCGACATTCCAAGAAAATTGAGACGATGTAGAAAAATTGCCAAATAATATCGTCTTTTTACTACATTTTCATAGTGAGTCCAAAATCAATAATTCTTGCAAGCAAAAGTACACTTTTTTACACGTACGATCGTTGAATCAAAGAGAAAACTACTGTTCCTTGATCACAGCAATCCCACAAATGGGTTTGTTTAACTAACAGACAGTAGATCGAGACTCTGCAATTTTCCCCTAAAGTTCAAATTCAATTTTGCATCGCTACGAATTCAAACAAATATCTAAAGTGGGAAATGAGTAAAGTTGGAAAACAGATCATAACATGATTAACTTTACCTGAGTCGGACGCATAGCAGTTTCTAGGGCGGAGAGACGGTGGTCAAAAGAACCCAACATGGAAACCATGTTGTCCGTGATTGACTGACTCTTCTGTAGTGATTCTCTCATCATCGCGGCTTTATCGCTCAGATTATCCACCCCTGCTGCTCGAATCGGAATCCCCATGTCTCTCTATTCTGCTGAATATTCTGAAGGATTGAAGAAATTGCGTAAAGGGGATTGCTATTGAGTGAAAATGAGTTAACAGCTCTTTGAATTTTTGGTTTGAAATTGCCAAAAGGGTATGAGTGCGAAGCATGTAGAGGTGGTATCATGGCTGTCTGAATAGTGGGTGTTGTTGAATTTGGATATTTGTTTAGTTGTTAAGAAAAGTACATAGATTTGTAGGTCTAGATGGGTCCATGGGTGTCAAAAATTTTATAAGATTGGCCAAAAATTATCAAAATAATATCACTAGGATCCAACTCATTATCCGAAATTATCAAAAAAAAAAAAAAAAAAATTAAGATTTGAAAAGTGGTAAAGTCCGACAATGCATCTAGAGAAAATCAACATGTGTTTGTTCCTTTTGCATTCGACACATTTGGTTTTCTCGCACCAGAGGCGGTGGAGCTCCTTAACAGAGTCCAATGGATCATGCATTCTAATATCATATCTCCTAGATCCACAAATGTTGTTTTCAAAAAAATTGGTTTTGTCATCCAAAAAAAACTAGCGGCGCATCCTATTGCCCGTTTGCCTTCAATCGATATGTATTGAATTCAAATAAAAAAAAAGAACATGAATGAGAAATTTATTTATAAATTAACTTTTAAATATACAATCTGAAATAGATATTTGCTAGCCTTACATAATGTTTGAAAAAATAACCATAAACAAATTATCACTAGGAGCCAATTTGTTATTCCAAATTATGGTACCTTGATGTCCAGATCGTCCACTTACGGACTTTTTGTTTTTCTCTCGTTGAGGTGGCAACGAACAACGGCCGTGCACACCGGCCCGGCCGTTCATGGTGGAGGTGTTTCGTAGTGGGCATCATGGTTGTAAACGACCAATGGTCGTCTTCTTTTCTCCCAGCTTCCTCTTCTCTCTCTTCTTTCCGATAGTGGGAAGTACACCGATGGTTCATGGTGGCCTGAGGCAGCTGACATGGAAGTTCTCCACGATTCTTGGCGTTGAGAGTATACATGGTAGCCTAAAATAATCTGAAATTTAATATGTCAGAGTGAAGTTGCATTATGAGATGTGACATAAAGTAATATTAAAATATGAAGTTTTATTTTTCACTGTACATTTTGGGATTTTTTTTTTTAGGGTTTTACTTTTAATTTTTATATAAATACATCATTCTATTATTGAAAATATGTCATATAATCAGGGTTTTTTAGAGTCTATGTTTGTAGCAGAGGACAGTAAGGACGAATCAAAAATCGTTATGCAGTATATGATATTGGATTACTTATTCTATAATGTGGATTTAACTTATGATATCAAATTTTGTGGGTTGGTGTACTTAGAGGGTGTTTGACAAAGTTTATTTAAATTAGCTTTTAACTTTTTAACTTATAGTTTATCAACTTATAATGGTATCAAAACGAAGTTTTTAAAAGTGTTTGGCTAAACTTATCCGGTGTCAAAACTCAATAAGCTTATTAATTTATAATGTATGTTTTTGTGTTGATATAGGTATATGTTAAGGGGTATATTTGTCAATTTCTTTTAATGGTAAATTAGGAGTTTTTGATAAGTAAGGGGTAAGTGACTTATCAAAAAATTACTTATTGGATGTTCCAAACAACAATAAGTTATTTTTTAAAAAGTTTTTACCCAAAACTTTTTTAACTTATACCGGTGTGGAACCGGCAAGAAGTCAAAAAGCTCATTTTCTTAAACTTTTCCAAACACCCTCTTAGTGGCTTCCAAGTCAAGGTTAGAGACTAATTAAATCCATTAGTCTTTTCAATCGAACGTTGTTATGTAAATATTTGATAACAGTAATGTCTACTATTTTGATAATATTGTTACTAATGTGTCACTGAATATTTTGATAACACATTGTAATTGTTCGTTGTGAATTATGTTGTCGAAAGTGGTGTTAACCGATTACTTAATATTTCTTTTAAAAGAGTACATGTGCAGACGCATAAAATTGAAATGAATATGCATGTGAGTTTTGAAGTTTTCCTGCCTCAAAATCTTGGGTTTGGCTTTTTTATGCACTCATGAATGAATAAGATACATGACTTGTAATGGTGTTAGGTATAAATATTAGAATTTATATATAAAGCTATGTGTATAATATATTCCAAATGAGCTAATGAATTTAATCCTTAGGACACCTAGATTATTGAATATTTAAAATGTGTATTGTACTAATAGTCTAATATTAAAAAGTCTTCTACATATTTTCATATATGTATAAATTTGGTTTATTGCGTGTTATTTTAAGTTAGTCATGAACTATATTAAAATGGATAAGGAATGTTGTTGATTATAGCATTATCAAACCGTTTAGTATGATTGTGATTAATATAAGACATGTTAACTCAGTTTTTGTGTAACACCTGGTTCCTGGTATGTATTTTAATCTAAGTATTTTTGCATTTTTAGCTGGGACTCGGCGAGTTGGTGGCCTGACTCGCCGAGTAGAGTCGATATATTGAGCACATTTAAGTTGGCAACTCGACAAGTCCATACCCTGGACTCGGCGAGTCCGCTAGTCTGGAAGAAACCTTAGATCCACGGGTTTTGCATCATATTTAAACCATGTTATTAGCCCCAAACTCGCCCCCTTCACTCTCAGAGCATCCTTTAGCAAACCCTAACCCTCCCCTTTGTGATTTGAGTGTTTGTGTGCTTTTCCTTGAAGTTTGAAGAAGAGAAGGAAGGAAGGACCAAGGAGAAGGAGAAGAGCAAGGATCTAGAACTCAATCCAGAGTCCATTGAGGTATATTTTGGATCTTTTCTGTTGCTATGATGATTTCTCTTTTAGAAACCCCATTTAAGCCATCTTTATCCATTTCCTAGCGTGATTGTAATAAAGAGATTATATTGAGTGGAATGGCCTTTGAATCTAGCTAGGTTTGAGCTTCAAGAGCCCAGATCTACTGCCTTTATGGAGCCATTTTACATGAAAGCCCTAGATCTATAAATTGTATGCAGTGGTTTTGAGCAGAATCGATTGTATAGAAGTTGCATACAACCGACTCGGCGAGTCGTTCTTCAGACTCGGCGAGTCAGGTCGCGAGTCCTCGAGTTTTCCCCTTCTATGTATTATTCCGAGTGGAACCAGTGAGTTTTAGGGGGACTCAGCGAGTCGGAGATCGGACTCATCCATGGAGGGACTCGGCGAGTCAATGCCCTAACTCGGCGAGTCCAAGGCAATCTTCAAAGCTCAAGAACAGACTCGACGAGTTGTTCATACAACTCGGCGAGTCCCAGATGGAGTGTTCATATGATGAAGGAGAACTCGACAAGTTGTTCATACAACTCGGCGGGTCGGATGCAAATTGACTAAGTGTTTGTATCAAAGAGGAACTCGTCGAGTCTATGCCAAACTCGACGAGTAGTAGCGAGCAGAATTGATAAATGAGAGTAGAGACTCGACGAGTTTGTGGCCCAACTCGACGAGTCAGGTCAACTATATGTTGACTTTGACCAAGAGGTTGACTTTGACCAGGGGTAAAATAGTCATTTTACCTTCAGTATAGTTATCATTATTTGATTGAGTGTACTTATGGAAATTGTAGCCATGATGTAACCGGAGCAACAACAGACATATTCCAGAGCAGTTCATTCAGCAACTAAACTACGAGGTGAGTCTTCCTTCGAGTAGGAACGGGTCTACGGCTACAATGTCAGCCCGTTTAGTTAGCAGTAGTTCCGAACCGGTCCGATGTAGTAGTTGGATTGCTTGATGTCTTTGTGATTCAAGTATGTTTTGTATTATGTGTTCCGGAATTCGGTCCGATGCAGTACACATTATATGTGTTTATGCTAGTTGATATGTTTATGTTATGCCATGTTATGCTCAATCAGTTTCCGGACTTCGGTCCGATGCATGGGACAAGGTCCCAGTCAATTCCGAATTTCGATCCGATGCAGTTAGTTCCGGACTTCGGTCTGATGCAGGGGACAAGGTCCCAGTTAGTTTCGGGTTTCGGTCCGATGCAGTTTCCGGACTTCGATCTGATGCAGTGGGCAAGGCCCAGTATGTGTTTATATGTTATTGTATGGTATGTGGTAGTTTGGAGGAGCTCACTAAGTTTCGTGCTTACAGTTTCAGTTTTGGCTTCAAGTACATCCTCAAGTAAAGGGAAGAGTTCGGGTTGATGGCATCGCACACACAACAGCTTCAGTTTTTGTTCTGGGAGTTGATTTAGCTTTCATTGACATAATTTGATATAGTCTTGATACAGTTTTCTTGTGATTCTTTGTTATGGTTTTGATACATTGACGTATTGATTTTATTCTATGGTATTGATCTAATGATTTTAGTAATGATTAAACAAAAAATTTTGGGCCATATTTTTGAGATGTTACATTTTGCTAGTGAGGAAGTGTGCACACTCACATAAGTTGATTTGATCTCAAGAGTACGGGGTTGTCGAGTGGCATCCGTGGTGGTGTTCCATGGGGCATCACCCGTGTCTAAGAGGTAGATCATTTACACAATATCAATAGTACAACAGATACATACATCTATCAATATTCTTGCCAAAACCAAGATGCATCTGTCAACACGAATTTTTGTAACAAAATCAACCGAATTTCATTGTTTTATTTTTTCATGTGTAGGTTTGTGTTTTTTAGACTTTTACTCTTTTTTTATGAGTTTTCTTTGTGAATTGTTGTCTAAAAACATAGAAAAAAACACATGATAATGTATAATGTTTTTGGAATTTTACCGGAAAATCAAGATAATAATTATTTAGATCATCTCAATTCCGATTTTATACATCAGCTTTAATATCGAAATTACAGATTTTGCATAATATTTATATAAATATATGATTATATTTGTAAATAATTACTACCATATCGTTTTGATTTGCACTACTGACTACCCTGTTTTCTACCAATTACTACAACCCAATAAAGCAAAAAAATTTAAGTAGGGTTCACTTGTGATTATGAGATCAAACCAATATTATATGGTCCGGTTCTTTGTTCATAAAATTTGTTGTAGTCTTACCGGTCCGACCCGGTTTGTATTATTGTTCAAGCAACGAAACCGAAACTTTAGAACAAAAGGAAGGGTATTTTCGTAAATTGAAAGTTACCAATGATGATAGCTAGTGAGGAAGAGATGAAACCTTCTGAAAAAAAGGCTTAAATGGCAAT